TCCCGCGCCTCTGAGGCTTTGCTCTGGCAAAGCCTCAGAAGCGCGGGAACCCGCCCGGTGCCCCTGGTCTGCTGGAGACGGTCTCCAGCAGACCAGGGGCACCGGAGCAGCTTTCGCCCCGACTTCCGGGGCTAGACCCGGTATCTATCTTCATTTTTTACATTTACCAGTAGCTGTCTCATTTCCTACCCTAGGCTTATACTCGAGTCAATACTTTTTCCCAGTTTTTTGGGGTAAAATTAGGTGCCTCGGCTTATATTCGGGTCGACTTATACTCGAGTATATACGGTACCCATTATTCACCTACCAACAGAATAGTTTGCTTAAATCAAAATGATTTAAAGCACCAATTCTAATCATGATGTAAAAGTAAAAACCTGGAAGCTTCAATTTAAATAATTGATTTCAATCTTGTTTTGCATTTGTACTTTTAATTATTTTCCCAAAGAAAGATTCATTCCCACTGACTGGTAGAACCATTAGAACATGTTGATTTGCAACCAAATATACAGTCTTTACACGGCATTTGATACTTCTTTTTGCTAATCAGTAAAGGTATGTCTACACTACCACCCTAGTTCGAACTAGGGTGGTAATGTAGGCAACCGGAATTGCAAACGAAGCCCGGGATTTGAATTTCCCGGGCTTCATTTGCAACTCCGGTTGCCTGCATTACCACCCTAGTTCGAACTAGGGTGGTAATGTAGGCAACCGGAATTGCAAACGAAGCCCGGGATTTGAATTTCCCGGGCTTCATTTGCAACTCCGGTTGCCTGCATTACCACCCTAGTTCGAACTAGGGTGGTAATGTAGGCAACCGGAATTGCAAACGAAGCCCGGGATTTGAATTTCCCGGGCTTCATTTGCAACTCCGGTTGCCTGCATTACCACCCTAGTTCGAACTAGGGTGGTAATGTAGGCAACCGGAATTGCAAACGAAGCCCGGGATTTGAATTTCCCGGGCTTCATTTGCAACTCCGGTTGCCTGCATTACCACCCTAGTTCGAACTAGGGTGGTAGTGTAGACATACCCTTGGATAACATTACATATAGACACATTTTTTTAAGCAAGCCAATAGCTTAATAGACATTTATTCAGATTCTTTTTTACATTTTGTATGAAAATGGGGAATGATGCATTCATTATTTGCTAGATGATTTTTTTTATACTTAGATGTGTGTCAAGCTGCATTTGCATGAAGTTTGGAATTCAGCTAAAAGTGTACAAAGCCAGCTTTTTTTTAAAAAAATGGTTTTATTAATTCAATAAAAGTACTGGATAGGTAAGAACAAAAGTAAGTTTATCAAAACATGGTTTGCATTTAAAACTAATATTTTTGTTTAACACAGGAAGTATTAAGGGAAATCAGTGAACTGACTAATTGCTTCTGGTCACTGTGGACCAGATTTTGTAAGGCAGGGGTTCCCAAACTTTTTGACACGGGGACCAGTAAATCCATTCACAAGCTTTTGGAGGACCAGTAACATTCATTTGCATATTTGAATATTCATTAAGCAAATGATGAATATTCAAATAAGTTGTTTCTGGTCCTCCCAAAGCCCCCAGTGCCAGTGTTAGCAAAGCTTTTGATACAGTCACCCACAATATTCTTGCCAGCAAGTTAAGGGAATATGGATTGGATAAATGGACTGTAAGATGGATAGAAAGCTGGCTATATCAGGGTTTTCCAAGCTTTTTACTTTAGTTGGAACCTGGTTTTTTTAGTATTGTTTTTTGCAGGCCAAAAAAATAAACACATATAAAAAAAAGAATGAAAAATGAATACATTTTCAGTTTTCACCCGGCTGCATCCTCCACCCAGCCTGGCCCAGGGCTTGGGGGACCCGGCGCTGCATGGGCACTCCAGTAGGTGGGAGCAGGAGCAGACTTGGGGTACGGTAGCTGTCTAGGAGGGAGGGTGCAAGGAAGGGTAGGGTTGCCAGGTGTCCAGTTCTATACCGGACAATCTGGTATTTGAGGGTTTTGTCTGAAAAACAAATTGAAAAATTACCAGACATATAAAATGTCTGGTATTTTCTAATTAGGTAAGTTTTATTATAATTAGGTGTATCAGTCCTTAGTTCCGAACTGCCTGGACAGTAGATGTGCTCATGTTGCCTGAGTGTGTCTACCTGCCAGGCAGTTTGCAACTACTTGAGGGAGGGTATGTTGGGGGAGGGCAAAATGGAATCCCCAGGCAGACTCACTCCTCTGCCAGGGTCTGCATGTGCCTAGGTCAGTCCCGCTCCCCCCCTTCTCCTCCCGATCTCCCAGTCAAGTCCTGCTGCCCCCGTCTAGCCCTGCTTCCAGCGGCCAGTTCCCCCCACCTCCCACCAATCTCCCCTGTCAGCCCTGCTCCCCCAACAACCCCCCCAACCAGCCCAGCTGCCCCCGTCCAGCCCTGCTTCCCGCAGCTGGTTCTCCCGTCCTCTTCCTCCTGTTCTCCCCTGGCCAGCTCCCCGTCCAGCCCTGGTTCTGCCACCTGCCCTCCCCAATTTCTGCTGGACAGCCCCACTGCCTCCAACCCTGCTTCCGCCACCTGCCCGCCCCCCCTCTGCCCCATCTCCGCAGGAACAGTCCTGCTGCCCCCAACCCTGCCACCACCTGCTCGCCCCTCCCCCCCATCTCTGCAGGACAGCCCCGTTGCCTCCAACCCTGCTTCTGCCGCCCGCCCACCTGGATCTCCACGGGACAGCCCCGTTGCCGCCAACCCTGCTTCTGCTGCCCGCTCGCCTGGATCTCCGCGGGACAGCCCTGCTACCCCCAACCCTGCTTCCACCGGCCGCCCACCCGCCTGCCCTGATCTTCGCAGGACAGCCCAGCTGCTCCCCACTCTTCTTCCCAGTGGTGGGTTCTTCCTTCTCCCTGCCACCACCTTCTCCCAGCCCGCCCCGCTCTGCTCCCCTACCAGCAGCCACGCTGAGGCCCGGTATTTTTTTCCCGGGGCCGGTACTGGGCCATCACCCGTAGTTTGGGAAACGCTGTTGTAAGGTATTCAGATGCCTAGATGAATTTTCAAAAGTGCCTGACCAGCTTAGGTTCCTAATTCTCATTGAAATCCTTTGAAATCCTGTGTATCCTTTGAAAAAAAGTGTCCCAGTAGTATTTGCATTTTTAGAATTAGAAAATCTCATCTTCTCCCATCTGGTTTTTATTCGTAGTGTGGAAGAGGAACACACTTTTCCTATTTTTTTCAACTCCTTAGCAAGTTTTTTAACTTAGAGTGAAATAGTAGGAAATATTCTCTTTACACCTGAGCACACCTGAAACCAAAGTAATTGAAGGAAAAGCTTTTTCTGACCAAAACCCCCATTTGGAAAAATGTGAATACCAACATTACTTCTTGTCTTTACTGTGCAATTAATGTTACTTGATATAGCACACAACTGTTACATATTAATAAAGTCTGAATTGACCTCCGAAGTTAAAGATTGTTCTCCTGACGATGGAGATCACTAAAAAAAAAAAATCAGTACCCTTTCACTCATTCAAGTTTGAGGAGAGTGCCTTGATTCAGAACATTTTGTTTGTTTATTTAAATGGTTTCTTGTAAGTTTAGGCCCTGACAAAGCTTGTCATACTTTTCAAGTTTAATTAGAAACAGATTTATTTTTAGAAACAAAAATATATATAAATAATGTAAAATAATTCAACTTTTACCTCAATCTCCTCGACTTCCAATACTGGAATAAGCTATACCTGCATAAGTACTTTTACATCAGTATAACTGTGTCCACCTTAGGAAGGTTGTAGTGTACCACTTTAAAACTACAGTATATAGGGATGTAATTAAAGCCACACAACTTCTTATTTAGACAAGCCCTGTGTTACCTAAAGACTCACTTTGGGCTTTTTATTTTGATCTGGTGACAGCTTGTAATTTCTGAGTAGCTCCACCATTTATGCGACATTTCAGAATAGTGTTGGGGGAGCTGTTCTGCAGTTTATTTCTTTCGTTAAAAAAATGCAAGATTGCCTGTTGCAAAAAATGTACTTGCATCCCCACAATTCTCTTCTCCCACTTCCACATTTCATCTCAAATCTCCTCCCTCTAAAGCCGAGCGCTACCTTAGCCTTCAGCCGTGTCCCCCCCCCCAAACTCCCTTCCACGTTTTCCCGAAATCCTAGGAGGCGGAGTCATGGATTTTGCGAATGATCATGTGGCTGTGCCTGCAGCAGGGATACCTGCCACCGCTCCCGCTCATGCTGGGGCGGAATCTGCAGAGTCACTCGCTCGCGGCCGTCGCTCAGCTGGCCAGCGGGGAGGAACTCCGCAGAAGCGCCAGGCCCTCCTGGATCTGGCTCGGGGCGCCTTCAGGGGGGGGTGGGCCTGGTCTGTTCCCCGCCCCTGAGTCAGTCCCAAGTCCAGGCTCCAGCTCCCTCTTTTTCCCCCCCCGCCCGCCTCCCGGAGCCCCCCGCCCGGCTCACCGCGTGGCTGAGGGAAGGCGCGGGGCGGTAGCTGCGCGGTGCCAAGTGCAGGGCGGGCGGCAGGGAACAGGACGCTGCCCGCGCCGCAATCCCCCTGCGCAGGACTTTCTAGTCCTCGCTAGCACCGGCTCTGTGGTTTTAACCCTCGCTTCCCCAGGCCGCAGAGAAACGCCTCCTTCCCCGTCTCTGCCGCTCCCCACTCCCCTTTCCTGCTGCGGCCGCCCGGTTCACCCAGAGCGCGGGGCTCCGGGCTGCTTGGCTCCCCCTCTTGGCTTTGTGCAGCGCTGGCCGGGAACACGGGGCTGTAGAACATCAGGCTGAGCTTTGGTTAGCCCCACGCTAGGGGTGTGCTGGAGGGCGGGGAGCTGTGGGAGCGCTTGCGCTGAAGCACTGCTCAAAGCCACAGTACCAGTTGGAGCTGCGGGATGGGACAGTGGTTAGGACAGAAGCGACTTGGGAGTTCTGGGTGCAATCTGCTGATCTTTTCCACCCAGGTGGGGAATAAATTTGTACGTGCACCTGTGCATGTGCACCCTAGGAACAAAATCCTCCAGCTGTGGGCACTCTACTAATCAAAGGGGGAGCATTTGAATGTCTCCGGAGCAGTGACACAAGCGCTCAGCTTACAAGGAACACTGGTTGTAAGTCCCTGGTCCAGGGGTGGGCAATAATTTTTGGCCAGGGGGCCACTCCAAGATTTTGGAAAGTGGTCGAGGGTCACACTCTTCCATGATATTAATGGAGATGTGGGGTCTGGGATGGAGGTTGGGTGCAGAAGGGAGCTTGCGGTAAGGGACTGGGATGCAGGAGGGAGACTGGAGTCTGGGAGGGAGTTGGGATGAAGCAGGCTGTTGGCACCTAGGGCAGGAGACTGATAGAGGCTGCAAGGGGTGGGAAAGTGATTAGTCACCTCACTAGTTGAATATCCAGTAAGCTTATGCTTATCAGCTAGTGGACTAGTCCTTACATCCCTAGTCCTGTGGCACCTTAGATTAACACAAAATATAGATGGTATTATGAGCTTTTGTAGGCACAACCCACTTCAAATGACTGGAGTATTAGTGGTCCAGCGTTACAAATAAATAGCAGGGGGGGAAATCTTGTTGATTTGAATGTCCATGCTAAATGAGACTAATAGTATTAGGCACTTCAGCCCACTCTTAATTTTTGATGTCATTAGGGTATTAAATGTAATGGCCCATCCAGGCTGGGTCTTTGGTCAGACCTTGATTCAAGGTGTCAAATTTGCAGATGAAGGCAATTTCTGCAGCTTCTCTTTCCAGCTGGCTTTTAAAATCGCTTTGTAATAGTATAGTCACTTTTAGATCCATCAGTGAGTGCCCAGGCAGGTTAAAATGCTCCCCAACAGGTTTCTCTGTGTTACCACGTCGAATATCTCATTTGTGTCCATTAATCCTTTGTCGCAGAGACTGTCTAGTTTGGCCAATATACATGGCAGAGGGGCACTGCTGACATTCGATGGCATAGATCACATTAGTGCATGTGCAGTTGTATAAGCCTCTGATGTGGAGGCTTAAGTCATCTTGAGTTAGTGAGACATCTGGGCTGCTCTGTTGATAAGCAATCATGAAATCTTGGCTTTGTGGTTCCTGTAACTTAAAAGTATTTACATCTCTCATTGCCACTCTCCATCCCACCATGTCATTCTACTGATATCAATGGTGTTACAAGGATGTAAAAGAAAGTGAATCTTTTGTACAAACCCCACAACTAGCTTGAAATTCCATTTGAATTCAGAATTGAGCTAAGCTAGTATAACGGCTATACTGAGGGAACAGGGCATAAGTTACCATTTGAGCTTCCCGTAAATTTACCTCTATATTTGATTGACGTAACTGATGAATCAGTCTTATCAACAACTATCTTGTCGTGCCAGTAAAGCTACTGCCCTGATGAAAATGTGCTCCCTCTCTGCTTCGCATTGCTGAGCAGAGCAGCTGGATACATTGAATTTTCTCTTGTTCTTGCCATTGCCCATCTGTGCTTTCAGCTTCTTTGGATACTTTCATCTCTGGATCCTTTCAAATCACTTTCTATAGGTATTTTGAAAACTGAATTAGGTTTGCAGTTACATTTTCTAAAATGAAATTAAGTAGAGGCCATAACATTAGCTAGAGGGCATAAGGAGTAGCAAAAAGGTATCACTTTCCTATGTATCCTCATTGCTTCTAAGGCACTTGTCACTCTTTTCCCTTAGTCCACTGCCTCTAATCTCTTGTGTCGCCCTTTTCGCACTTTGCAAAACTTTGAATTTTAAGAAACTCAACAAGAGCCCTACAACAGTTTCCAACTCAGTTATCTAACATTAATTTTAAATTTGTAAACTACTTGGCTGGTTTCCAGCTGCTACTGAATGCTACAAGGCAGTCTTCGGTAGGAAGTGATGGTTTTCCTCTGAAGGTCCTCCTTCAAGAGTGCTAGTGGCAGTTCGTTATAGAAAAATCACACTTTGTTGCCAAATTATGGTGTTCAACACTGGAGAAGTAGCTATCTCTATTAGAAAGACAAAACAAACCTCACAGTGATGAAACATTGATTTTGAAGTCAATCCAGTTACTTTGTTGCAAACCCCTAATATAGCTGGATTGAAATATTTCAATTATGCTTAAACTGATTTAACTGAATGGGACAGACACTTCAGCTAAATCAATTGAAACACATCTGTAGTGGGAAAATCCATACTAGTGCATGTCTTCTAACATAGGCCAGACCAAATTTAGAGATCAGATTAGGTAGATGAATTGAGACATTTTATTGCAAAGTTTGGCATAATAGGGAAATAGAAGAGGGTAGTGCATAAAGTGGTCTGAAAGAAGTGTGTGTGAGTCTATTCTTTACTACAGAACTGCAAGCAACATCACATTTGCCTATTCTGCAGCTCATCAATTCTGTCCCTTCAACCCTTCACATCAGTTTTCTACCCTGCAAAACCATTTCATTTTTTGGGGTATGGGAAGGAGTCTATGGGCTATCCCACTTTTCACAGATGGGGAGAGGAAGAGAAGTACCCGAGTGTTTTGTGCTCCCACCAATGAGAAGAGTTTCAGCCCCTGAGAAAGGGGAAGAGAGCACAGTTTGTTTCCTGCAGAAGCTCAGGAGATGAGTCTGAGTGGGGAGATATCCTGCTTTCCTCTTGCCCAAGGCTGGGCTGAAATGTCATCTCTGTTTGAGTTTTAGACCTTTTATTTCTGGGCCTGTAACCCAGTATGCTATAATCGCTGAGAGAAGGAAAGGACAAAAGATAAGCATGATAGAGAAGGGTAGGTGGGCGGGCAGTAGAGAACTGCACCGTGTGATTCATGTAAGGTAACCTCTTGCAAATTCAACTAGCATCCAGAAGTCCAACTTAGTTCTTCCCATCCTGGGCATGACTACTAGTATAAAGAGTTGTGAAGGTCAAATTAGACCTCCATTTACATCTGTACAATCTTCCAGTTATTCTAGCACCATGTGCCTCTTCCAGTCTGAATACATGGACTAAGGTTTCTACAAAGCTGAGCATCCTGACCACACTTAATTAATAGCATGAATGTTTTGGTTGAACATCCTGGAAACATTTCTGTATTTGAAATTCAGATGGGAAATTCTTTCCCCTGCTACCTTCTTCAATAAGCCTGCTCACTAGACTTCAGTGTTCTTCTAAACCAACTAGGTATTTCTCTGATGTGTGTTTTTAAAACGGTTATTTTATATCATATACAGCCGCTCCCCGACTTACAGCCACCTCCACTTATGACCATTCACACGTACGACCAAAGCGGTCGTAAATGCGGATCCAGGTTACGAACAGCGATGCGTGCTTACGAACAGCGCGGTTGCCCTGTAACTCTATGGGATCCGAGTTACAAACAGTTCGAGTTACGGACCAAGTGTTGGTCTGTAACTCATTCATAACTGGGAGAGCGGCTGTATATAGTAGCCCAATGTCTGTGACTCTGTAACGCTGAAATGCTGGCTGTTCCCTCTGGGCAGCGCTGTTGCCTCCCTGACTGTTCCCTCTGGGCAATGCTGTTGCCTAAGTCAGGTCCTTCTCCTCCCGCCATGGCGCTTGGCTGACTTCTGTGCCGCTCAGCCGTGCTGCCGTGGGGGAGCAAGCTGCACAAGCAGCTGTTTGGGTGCCGCAGTCCTCCAAGTGAGAGGCAGGAGGGGGAGGAGAAGAGACAGAGAGAGGCAGGAGGAGGAGGAGAGCTGAGAGAGAGAGACGAGGAGATAGTAGGAGGAGAGAGAGAAAAAGACTGGAGGCTCAGGAGAGAAGACCGACATGGAGGAGAGACTTGACAATCCCATCTTATGACGGGCTAATTGGCTAGTTATAGATGAATAGCTGAAAATGGATGAGCTGAATTATTCACTGATACCTAAAACTGGATGTTCTCTTCCCCCCACCCCTGCTACTTTATTTAAAAAAAGAAAACCTTTTATAACTTTGAAAACAATGATCAGTCCTGTGGCACCTTAGCTCTGGTCTACACTAGGGCATTATTTCTATATAACCCCCCCCTTAGATAAAATTTATAAGCAGAGCATCCACACTACCACATGTGCTTATTTCAAAGTCTGTACTCTTGCTTTCCTTGGGGAATAGTGCTAATTTTGAAAGTTATTTCAAAATAGTGTTAGTGTGGGGCTAAAATAATTGGCTCCCACAGGCCTCTCTCAACTGCAGCTCTGACCACCTGTGGCATCTCCACTGCTCCTCTCCTCCTGCAGAGCTTAGGTCCTGGCAGCAGCAGAAGGGCTTGTGCCATGTGGAGAGTTGTGAAACTCCGTGCAAGACAGCAGCACGTGAGGTAGCCATGAGTGACCCCCTCCCCCAATGCTCCCTCATACCCTCTCATGGCCAGCACTCCAGCTGCTCCCTCAGTTGCCACTGGCCAGGGATGCAGGAGAGCTCTGGCCTGAACTGGTGTGGAGATCCTGGACCCTATCAATGCCTGTGAGGAGACCAGTCTCCAGGATCTGTGCACCAGAAAGAGAAATGCCGATGTCTACAGATGGATCATCACCAGCCTGGCCAACAAAAGCCACATCCGGACACTTGACTATTGCCGGATGAAAATCAAAGAGCTCCAGCAGGCATACCACAAGGTCAGGGTGCAGAGTGGATGCTCCAGGACGGCACCACACAGCTCCCGCTATTATGACCAGGTGGATGCCATCCTGGGATGGGGGGAGGGTGGCGGTCACATCCCCCGCTGTAGTTGTAGAGAATGGACAGAACATGCCCGGTGTCTGCCTCCGGGAGGCTGGAGTGGCAGCAGCGGAGGAGGAAGTCATCAAGCAACCATGCCTGCCAGCCAGGACCTGTTCCTCACCCTGGAGCCAGTCCCCTCTTCTCCCGCCAGGATGTCTCCCAGGCTTTGGAGGAACCCGAAGAAGGCACTTTAAGTGAGGTCTATAATTTTTCCTATCTACATGCAGGGGCAGGCTGCACACTCCTCTCTCAGCCTACTTGGTCTGGGGGGGTGGGGTACATATTAGCCTGTGCACACGGGTGCAGATGGAGCACCAGTCTGAAGCACTCAGCTCAAAAATGCAGTCACACAGGAACTCCTTGGTCCTTCTCACAAGGTTCCTGGAGATACCTGCCTTACTCTGGCCTCTGCGCTGGGACATCTTCCCAGGACAAGCCACCACTAAGGAGTCTGGGGTCATGGAAATATATAGCAATGCCGTACACAGCCCAACATCATGCTCACACTCAGGAGCCACATCTGATCAAGCACAGTGATGTTGAGGAGACTGATCTTGTGCAAGGGAACTTGCTGCAGAGAGGAAGAGCAAGGGAATCCAATGAGACTCTCTCTTGCAAGCAGTGGGCATGGGGAGGGTAGGGTAGGGGATAAAAGGCACACAGAAAGCCCCCTGTGGAGAGGCATGGGGGAAGATTCTCATAACTAGCCTTGCACAAAACTCTCTCTCAAGGCCTCTCTGATGAGCAAAGCCCCTTGATGTGTTCTCAGAATGGTACTGAACATCTGGCCAGGGAATCTGAGTATCTGGATGCCAGACTCAGCCCCGCACTCTGGGGCTATGTCTACACTGGCACTATCTTGTGCCAGAAATATGCAAATGAGGCTAAGCATGGAATATCACCGAGCCTCATTTGCATATCTAATGAGCCACCATTTTTGTGGAAGAGGCTCTTGCGCCAGAAGGAGCGTCTACCCTGCCCCTTCTTGCGCAAGAAAAACCCTCCTCTCTAGGATATACAGGTGAAGCAGCCCTGTAGTTTTAACCCCCCACTTGCCAGACCTGAGCCAACCTCCTCCCTCCAGCCCTTTTCTCCCTCCCCACTCCCTGTGGTACCTTGAATCTCTTGGCACTGCTCCCTAGTGCCCAGCCTGCAAACTCCTGGACAGCCTTAAGTAGGTGCCTTCCTAAAACAGCCCTGTGCTCTAAGGCTATGTCTAAACTACATTCCTCTTTCGAAAGAGGAATATAAATGAAGCTGATGGAAAATATAAATGAAGTGCAGCTTTACAAATCTCGCACTTCATTTGCATAATTGTGTGAGTGCTTTTTCAAAAAAGGGATTTTTTGAACAAGGCTAGATGGGGTTCTTTCAAAAAAAAAATATCCGGGATTTTTTGAACAAGGCTAGATGGGGTTCTTTCAAAAAAAAAAAATCCAACCCTTTTTCGAAAGAACCAGTACTCCTTAAAAAATGAAGTGTATGGGTTCTTTTGAAAAAGGGGGGGAAGGGTTTGAAAGAACCCTGTCTAGACTGTGGTTTCTTTTTCAAAAATCCCTTTTTCGAAAAAGCGCTCTCACGCAATTATGCAAATGAAGCACAAGATTTGTAAATCTGCACTTAATTTGCATTTTCAGCTTCATTTACATTGCTCTTTTGAAAGAGGAATATAGTTTAGACATGCCCTAAGGGTCTGGCATGAATTTTTGTTGTTTAAATCCCACTTCAAACGGGGACACCTCTTTGGGTATGTCTAGACTACATGGTTCCGTCGATGGAGTCATGTAGATTAGGTTTCTAGACATAGGAAAATGAAACCGCGATTTAAATAATTGCCGCTTCATTTACATAAAAATGGCTGCCGCTCTGTGCCGATGTTTGGCAGCACAGATGGTAGTCTGGACGCTCCGCGGTCGACAAGGGAAGTCCTTGTCGACTGACCCATTATGCCTCGTGGAATGAGGTTTACTGGGGTGGTCGACAAGGGCTTCCCTTGTTGACCGTGGGGCGTCCAGACTACCGCACTGTGCCGCCAAACAGCTGATTGGCACAGCGCGGTGGCCATTTTGATGTGAACGAAGCGGCAATTATTTAAATCGCCGCTTCATTTTCCTATGTCTAGAAACCTAATCTACATGACTCCATCGACGGAACCATGTAGTCTAGACATACCCTTTCAGTGCCCTCCAAGGACTTCATTGTACTCACTTCCTACTCCTTGTGGCCTGCTCTCATCCCTGCTCCCTCAATGCATCTAGCACCAGCCACCATTTTTTGCCTCTGGCTACTCCTGGTGCTGGTGCAGAGTCTAGTACAGGGAGGCATCTTACATAGATTCTGTCCTGGGACTGTTGGGAGTTGGAACAGCTTCTGGCACAACACAGGTAAGTCCTGCCTGAATGTTTTTTGAGACTTGGGATGTTTTATGAAAATGTTAAGTTATACTGATAGCATAGGATGGACATTGGTGCAGGTGTTAATTTAAATGTATAAGGTAAAGAGCCAGAGTGACTATGGTAAAGAAGGGGTTTAACGCTAATGAGTATTATAATAGGTTATAAAAAGAGTAGCCTTGCTAAATTGTGGGCGATTTCCAGTTAACACTAGAAAGATACCTGTAAGTTACAGGATTGTAAAGCTACACTTCATTCTGTTCAGCGGATTGATCCTCCATCAGCACAGCAGATCATCTCTTTAGTTCAGTGCAATAGTAATGCTTGTGTAAATGTTAATTGTAGGCTTGTTTGCATAACAAACCACTTGTCTTCTGAATACAATTTGGTTCTGTCACTCAAAGGATCATTCAGGGCCCTCTAATACATTAAATTGTCTGTAACTGACTTAGAGGCGTAAACCCTCAAGCTAAGTGTGGTTTATTGTGTCCTTAGCTTTAACAATTTAATGCTAATCGAGAATATTTAAAATTCAAGGCTATCCTGGTCTGCGTATGATGAAAAGGCTTGAAGCAGACTGGCCAAGCCACCAGACTGGCCAAGCCAATATGCACCAGCTTTTCTCGAGCTGGGAGGGGGTGAGAAGCCTGGGGGGGGGCTGGAATGTCAGGGCGGACAGTTTAACTGTCGTGGGTTTGGGTCGTGTAGTCCAGTGGCAGAGAGGGGGAACGAAGCCCTGGGGCAGTCTCTGGGTGACTCCCCTACTGGACCCAATGGTGCGCATTTGGGATTGTGCCTCCTAGGGGCTGCAGAGCAGCAAGCCATCCTGGGACTTCACCCCCTCCGTCCCCAGCTGGGTGGCTCTCTAAGGCAGGGCTAGGTACCACGGAGGTAGCAGTGATTAGAGGGCTGTACAGGAAAGCTGTTCTGGGGAGCAATGTGTGTCATGGGAGTGAAACCCAACCCAGTAGCCTCCACAGGAATTGAAATGGGGGGGTGTTCAAATTTACAAGGGGGGGTGTCAGGGCCAATGAGGGGTGACACTGAGGGTGAAGGTGGGCTGTATGGCACCATCGTTCACAAAACTGGGCAGGTGTTGGGGAAATTCAGGGGGGTATACACCCCCCCCAGCCAGAGTAAGGCTAGGGGGAGAGTAGTACCTGTTTGGGGAACAAAACCAAGGAGTGGGTCACTGGTAGGGGAGCTGCAGCTAATGTGTGTGTGCTTAGGGTGAGAGGAGAGGATGGAAAGGGGAATCTCACTGAAGGAGCAGTATGTTTGGGGGTGAAGCTGACATGGAAGGTCTCTTGTGGGGGGAGGGAGAAAGCAGTGTGAGAGTGTGTCTGTGAGGTGGATGAAGACTATGGTAGAATGATATGCATTTGGACAGTGAAATCCCAAGATAGAAGGTAGTGAAGGCTGAAGACCTGGAAGTGGAAGTCCAATTAATGCAGAACTGTGGGCTAGTAAGGGGTGAAGTAGATCCCAACATGAGTTTGTGTGTATTGGGAAAATGAAACCTAAGAACGGACTTCCACTGAAGAGTGGGAGTGTATGTGTAAGCTCAAGCCTCGAGAGGGTGGGGTTCTCATTTGGGATGACTATGCATCTGGGATGAAACCTAAATAAAGGGAGACTTCCATTCAAGTAGTAGTGTGATACTGGGAGACAGAGCCAAGGAAAGCGAAGTCTTCTTATGGGATCAGTGTACCTAAGAGATGGGTGGAAGCAGGGTACTCATGCCCAGGACCTAACCATTAGAGCAACCAAACCATCTCATTATTAAGTGTCACCATCTCTTCCTCTCCAGGAGAAGCCTTCCTTCAAAAGGCTGAAATCCCCTTCTCTGCACAAAGGACAAAGGGTGATAAAGAAACTAGAGAGAAAGTTTATCCTGATTTTTCAGACACCAAACAATGAGCAGAAAGGAGGAAAGGACAAACTAGAAACAGAAGGAAGAGAAGCAAGAAATGAGGTAGGATTCACAAGAACATGAGGTGATTAAAACAGAAAAGAAATGGGCCTCTGTTTGAGACTAGGGAAACTAGATAGGGAGAAAACACAGAAAAAGCAGCAGAGGGTAATTCCTTCTGCTATCTCTGTACTTCCAGTATTTATTCTGAAAAGAGAGAGGAAAAGTATCGAAATCCTGTGTCCTACTTTCTGTGCTGCTCTGTGTCTCATCATTACATTTCAGAAACTCTCTCTCTACCAGGAGTCACCTGCTTCCTCAAAAATGCCTCAATTCAGTTTTCTTCTCCACAATGACCAAAGTGAAGAAAAGAAACAAGAGAAAAAGAAAAGACACAGGAACTGGAAAAGAGCATTAAATGCAGAGGAAAGGGAAGAGGATAGCCTAGAGACAGAAGGAGAAGAAGCAGAGTCATCAGGAGCAGGAATTGAGGTAATACTGCTCAGGACATGCTGGTGGTGATGGTGGAGGGGTTAATAGTCACACTCTCCCTACATTCCTGTGCCAGGTATCCCAGTTTACCACTTTCAGACATGGATGCTGGGACTAAGAATGCCAGGTAATGCTGCCACATTCCTTGGCTTGGGTGTTTTTCATTATATCCAGGGTATAAAGTTTGGTTAAATGGCTTGCAGCACCCCACTATGCAAATTGCTCCGGCACCCCAGTTTTTAAGATTATGACCACATTTTTCTGTGTGGCTGCAGGGAAATGAGATTGAAGGTAGGAATGAAAGTGTTACCTTCAACCACAAAAAAAAAAGACAGGAAGGAAAACTAACCCAGGAGAGTACTGAGGTTCTAAATTTCAGAGTGGAAAGTAGAATTTATCATGTATTAAAGCCAAATGTGCAAAAAGTGCCCTAATAAACAACCCAAACAGCATTTATCTGCCAAAACCCTAGTCCTGAAGTCACATTTTACATGGCATAGCTGGGACTTGTAAAACTATTAAGGTTCCCCAATATTTCCCATGATTAGATGTTTTTAATTGCTTATAACTTTACCAAATGTTAGCCCTGTGAACTGAAATTTTACATACTAGCCATCTGTCGCATGTTGGTTATATTTTTGGCAAATTTGAGCCAAAACAGGCCAGCCATTTGTGAGAATGAGTAGGATAATGGAGAACAAATTCCAAGTGAGTCAGTACCTGCTGAGAGAACTGTATACGGTATGCAGAGCTAAAGGAGAAGAGAAATTCAGGGGTCTATGTTCTGAGCTGCTTTATGTCTCACCATTAAATTTCAGTGTCTTTTATGCCAGGAGTCACCTTTCTTCAAAAGGCCCGAATCCAGATTTCTTCTCAGCAATTGGCAAAGTGCGGAAGAAAAACAAAAGAAAAAGAAAAAACACAGGAAATGGAGAGGAGTAGAACATACAGAGGAAGGTGACAAGGATGCGCTAGTGGCACAAGCAGCAGGAACAGCAAGGATTAAGGTAATCTTCCTCTCAGGGTAGGGAGATTTAACACAGAATTTAGCAGAGCTAATAATGGCATAGGGCAAAACCCACACTATATTTATCCACACCCAAACCCTAATTCTCGCTGGATCATTACGGCAAGTCCCTTGGGTTATTTTCTGGTCCTAGTTACAACTTTTCCACATGTGCCCAGTAAGCCAAAAGTAAAACAGGCGTGAGGCTATTGCAAAATTAAACATGAATATAACCTCCACTTGATTCCTTGCTTCCCCCAGTGTGGGACTGTGGTGTCATCAGGTAATTGTGTGTGCACGTGAGTTAGAGCAGTTGGAACTCCTATGCTGGAGTATTTGCTCCTGTCAGCCTCCTGCTCTAACGTAAGATACATCAACATACATAAGATACATAATTTATGTAGCTGGAGTTGCCTATCTTACTTCAACCTTCCAATGTAGTATAGATCTAGCCTCAGAGCCCCACATTCTCAGCTGCTTCATGGTGCATCATTTAATTTCAGTTTTTTTCCCCCCTAGGAGTCACCGACTTTTAAAAGACCTGAATCTATTTTACTTCTGAGCAACTGGCAAAGTGAGAAAAAGAAAAAAAAGTGGAAACAGAGAAGGGAAAATGTTGGAGCTGGTGATAAGGAGGGTCTAGAAACAGATGCCAAAGACAAAGCAACCACAGCAGTAAGAAATGAGGTTTTAGTCAGAGCACAATGTGAGATAAAATACTGCAAAGAGCAGGAGCTGGGAAAGACCAATGACAGCAATGTGGAAGGGCAGACAAAGATTTCTTTCCCCTCTTTCCATGAAAGGTATTGGAGATGTGTGCAGTTCAAGATCCTGTTTGCCTTACACTACTTCTCAAGTGACTCTGTCTACTTCCTGTGGAAGAGGCATTAAAATAACTACCAAACCAGCACCAGCTCTCTAAGCCCCTCTCCCTAGTTGACTGCTGTATAAATTACCTCTTGTTCTTCCCCTTTCCCTGACCTCTGCTTGTCTAGCCTGGACAGTGGGCTCCATGGAAACGTGACAGTCTTTCTACATCTAGAAAACATGTAGCACATAGTTATTTGTGGTAATGTCTACTAAGCATCACAACTAATAATTGAAATTAATTTACCTCTTCTTTGCAACAAAGAACTGTTGCTCCAGAGTAGGGTGGAGGCCCCATTGGGGAGAAGTAGTAATGTGAGGCGAAAAAGTCCAGGGTCTTGTGTAACCTATGAGATAATCAGGAATTCGGACCAAATAGGCTAGTTATGTGAGAGGTATACTATAGGCTATCACACTTAGACAATGTCTACACTGCAGGGTTTTTCCATGATACCTTTTTTTGCAGAAGAGCAAACACGCTCTTTCGGGGAGCCCTGTATTCCGTGTTTCATCAGGAATAAGTTCCTCCAAAAGAGGAAGCTTTTCTGCTATTTGGCCCCGTCTACACCCACTTGGCCCCTCTTCCAGAAAAGCTGTCGGAAAAAACTACACAAATTGAGGAGCGCAATTCACGTAGCTTTTTCCAACAAAAAGGGGGCAGTGTAGACCTTGCCTTACAGTCCTACTGAGGGAGCATTGTACATAGCGGCTAGAGGAGAAGTGAAGTCCTAAGCTCTGCATTTAGAGCTGCTCCGTATCTCATCATTACAATTTATTGTGTCTCTTTTTCCCCCAGAAGGAAAACAAGCAAAAGAAAAAGAAAAACCACAGGAACTGGAGGATAGCAGAACATCCAAGGGGAGTTGACATAGCCAGTCTAGAGACAGAAGCAGATGGAGCAGAATCAGGGCTGGATGAGGCTAGAGCATGGACCTCTGAGCACACTTACCTGTGCACACCCCCACTCTTCGCTTCTCGCACTCTCTCCTTCTGCCAGTTGTTACTTTCCTCTCCATGGCTGAGCCCCACGTCCCCTTTAAGCCAAGGGCAGAGCACCAGAAAGAAACAGAAGAGAAAGCAGAAGTACAAACAATTAGGAACACAGAATCAAGAGCCAGAAGGAGAAGATGGGAGAAACGAGGTAGGAGTCATAGAAAGGGGAGGGGAAAGGGGAAGTGAAAACAAGAGAGGCCAGGGTACAAGTGAAATAGAACTGAGAGAAAGAATACAAGGGAAGCACAGAGATAAACACAGAATTCTCCCTCTACTTCTTTTGCTGCAATATATTCTTGTTTTAGTTCAAGAGGGGTGGCCAGGTAATGAGTGAAATGGGGAGAAGATGAGCAGCTCATCCACGTGCCACATTCCTACATGCATGCTGTCAGTGTCTTGCATTTCCATGGCAGCTCTGCTGCTTTCTCACTTTCAGAGTTTGGTCCCACTCTCCCAGCAGATGCAGGTGGGGATGAGGTCCCACTTTGGGACACAGACAGCAGACACACCCGAAGACAAGCAGAAAGTTTGACTTAAAAGTGGATATGAGGCAGTTACTGGCTACTGGAGAGAAAGAAGCAGGAGATTCTCACAAGTGAAAGTAGAACGTTTTCCATGTACAGTTAAAAATCTAAGAAACAAAGAAAAATTAAAACGATTAAAGGCCATGTTTCCTTCTGTCTCACCACAGTGCTCCCCAGAAATAAGTCTCCATACACTTCATCTGTTCTGCCCAAATCTAGTCTGACATATGACAGAGCTAGCAGCACCCTCCAGTGGAGATTCTAGACAAATGCTCTTTACTGCACATTCATATGTCCCCTGCAGGGTTATAGTAGTATTTGATGGACACCTGCATGTGCATCTCGATGGAGCTCCCACTGGGGGGGCAGTGTGAACAGAACATGGGAAGATATTTAAGCATGGAACCTACATTCTGAGCTGCTGCATGTATCATCATTGAATGTTGGTCTTCTTCCTTTGTAATAGGAGATGCCTTTGCTCAAAAGGCCTGAGTCTGTTTTCCCTCTGTGTAATGAACAAAGTAAGAGAAAGAAAAAACAAAGGACATGGAGAACAGAAAATACTGGGGAAGGCCGTAAAAATGGTCTCCAGACAAAAGCAGAGAAAACAGCAGCCGCAGCAAGAATGAAGGTTGTATTTGGTGCTGAGTGGGAGATTAAACCCAAAGATGAGCAGTGCCCCCCCTTGATGTAAGGTGACCTGTAAGGTTGGGTCTCACTGGCTATTAAGGGTATGTATTTGGGGAGCAGTTGAAGCCCAGGGATGAAGTGTCTAGGTATGCTGAGGTATGAGTTTGGGTATGCTGGGTTGGAGAAGGTGATGGCCAGTAGCACAGGACCACATAATTAGTGTCCTACTGCTTCTGAAGACTGAACCATGTGGGGTCTGGTTACAGAGGAAGTGTGTGTGTGTTGGACAAGTTAGGCCTAAGAACAGAACAGCTCAAATGTTGTGGGGATGAAACCTAAGATGTTTATTTAGGGTGTGCTCTGCACACGTTTAAGTGTGACTCCTCACAGGATTAGTTCCATCAAGAGAAATATATGTCACGTAGTGATGACTAAGACAGCTGACTACTATGAGAGCAGTGTACTATATGGACAGGAGAGGTGGGACTGATGCCTGGTGTTCAAAGCAGTTTCTTTACTTTCTATTAAGGATTCACAGAAAGGATGGCAGGATGTAGAGGTTATAAGGAGCAGTGTGGGGGAGAAATCAGACTAGGAGAAAACAGTGATGGGGAATGGGACGTGTATGCAGGATTTGGAGCCCAGCAACCTGCATTTCTGGCAGTTCTATACTTCATTATCAAGTATCATAATGTCTCCTTCTTGCAGGAGCTGGGTTCCTCCAAGAAGCTGAAATCTAGTTCTGCTCTGGACATGGCATCAAATGAAAAAAAGAAACACTGTACAGAGCAAACACAGAGAAAACTGAAAGGACAAAAGAATGAAGGGGAAGGAGATGCACAGAGATTTGAGTCAAGCAGAAAGAATGAGGTAGGATTCACAGAAGGGGCAGAGGGCATGTGTTGGCAAAATGAAGACAGTTCAGGCATGAGGAAATTAGAATTGGAGAAAAAGCACCAGAGATGCAGAGGGGTAAATATTGAATTATTCCCTTATTTTCTTTTAACATGTCAGTAATTTTAGTTTAAAAGAGGGAAAGGAAGTTACCAGAGAAGGGGAAGGAGCAAGACCCTATTTCCCCTCTATCAATACCTTTTCATGCATGCACGTCACCGACTATCTGCACTCTCATGGCAGGGTTATTTATTTTCAAAATCAGTTACATGCTTCCCCACTTCTCTGCAGAGGTCTGAAAAGACAATGCTGAGGTGGAAAGGAAGCGGTTAGCTGCACCCTGAGACATACAGAGATTTCTCCCACAGGAGACTGGAGAGCTTTTGACTTCAAAGGGACACATGGAATTTAGTCCTATAAAACCAAGAGAAATACAATTTTTAAAGGCAAATTCTCACCCAAACTAACACTCCCCAAACATAACAGCGTCTCTTGGACTAAGTGCCCTTTTCTAGGACAGTCTGACATAGGAATACGTAACATATAGCTCCTTCCATATAAGATTTCTGAATACACTTTGTCACACTGCCTGGAGTGGCTGACAATTGTGAGTGCTAACCTTAGGGCAGACTGCCAAGATCAAGGGCAGAAACTCCAGCTGGTTGTATGCTCTCTTAAATTTTATCAAATCAGTAACAAGTGTGAACTCCTATACCACAACAACAGCATTACCCACAGAGTCACAATCAGACTCCTTGGTCATTCTTGTCTGTGTTGGCAAGCTGGACTTAGTGATAGGTGATCACTATAAACCGAAGATCACAAAATAGTCAGGTTGCTCCCAGTCCCAAGAGTCCAGTCAGTCACTTACCCCGGTTCAATGTATACCTTAAATCTCACACCAAAGACAATGCTTTTAATTGATACATTTTAGAAAGATTCCTAAGGAAAGAAATGAGATCATTATTAAAGCAGGCAAACATATATACACAAATGTGTTAGTCTATGGTTTCAAAAGGTGAAAGAGCTGTTGTAATCTGTCAGCTTTGAATCTGTTTGAGTTAACCCAGGCTGACCCTGGGGATCTCTGCTTGTGTGTCATAGCTCTGGCCCCATGAGAGTCCAAACAGCAGAAAATGAAAAGTTTCCTTGTTTTTTGTTCCTTCTCGAATTCAACCCGATGGGACAAGCACTTTTGTATGAAACCTCTTCATGGGTGCAAGGAGGCAATTAAAGTCTTGGCATTGTGATGTCCCACAGTGGTCTATTTAGTTTTGATAGATCCTCTTAAAAGGAAGGAGATGATCCTCCTTACACCTTGCTTACTTGCTCCCTCACACTTTCAGAGACTGTTTTAGGTTCCAAAGCAAAAACTTAAAAAAGTTACTTTATAGCATGTGATCTATTGTGAAATTAATACATGCAGCAACTTACATGCTTGTAAGTCTAAACACTTTGTTATGTCTAATACAATCTTAATCATACCAACTTACAGGTGAAAGATTCATTTCCAGCAATGAATTTGTCAGGGGCCTAAAGCCTTGTCAAGAGCTAACACCTTGTCTGCCCATGTCAGATAGAGGTTTTCATTCACGTACCCTCTCTAACATACCTGTCAGGACTGTCCTTACCAGTGCTGGTGCCCTATGCAGCCCTGCACTGGCACTGCTCCTGCAGGGAGAGCAGCTTCTCTGTAGGGTAGGGGTGGAAAATTGGGGATTGCCAATGCCCTCCTACCGGATTGATTGTGCACCATTTGCTGCAATGGTGTTAAGTCAGTCTGGGAGAGTTGGCAACCCAGGAGCAGGGCAAGAAGAGAGGCTCATTTCAGCCTCAGAGCAGCTAGCGGACAGCAGCAGGTGACAATTGCAGGCTGGAGGAGCAGCAAACAGCTACGCTGCTGGACAGAGAGAAGCAGCACTTTGAAGAGGAAGTTGCCACTTCTCTCCAGCTGCTGGTTTCATGTTCACCACCTGCTCCTCCAGAGTTTTCTGGCCTGTGTTGGCACCGTTCATGGCCACTGGTGAGTGAGGGCTGGGTGCAGCCCAGAATGGGGACTGGTCAAGGGATGGGATTGAGAGCCACTGGAGACAATGCTGAACATGTGTCTGTGCATGTGCATGAGTGGCTGGGCCAAGGAATAGGGTTGGAGGCTGCCAGAGCCCTAGCACTGAGCTCACATTACTGTCTTACATTATATGTGCCTAGGATGGGATTGCGGGCAGCGCCAGCCCCATTCCCTGTCCAAACCCCCATCCATAGGCACTTGGGCTACTTCTACATTGCACTCTCTTGCACAACATATGCAAATGAGGCACGGCGATGAATATTGCCGCACCTCATGTGCATACTTAATGAGCCGCCATTTTGCACAAGGGGCTTTTGCACAAGAAGCAGCAGTCTATAACTGCTCCTTGTGCAAAAACCCCCTCTTATGCAAGAGCCGTTCTGCCACTTATTTTCAGGCAGAATGGCTCTTGCGCAGGAGGTGGTTTCTGCACAAGGAGCAGTATAGACCGCTCCTTCTTGCGCAAAAGAGCAGCTCATTTGCATGTGTTCTTGTGCAAGAGAGCACAATGTAGACATAACCATATAGTATAAGTTACCATTACATTTGGGGCACCATTAAATTTAGCAGCTCCGTTTGCTGCCTATACCTAAGGATGGCCCTGATACCTGTGAAACCCTACCAGTGCTGACTTGCAGTGTGATCAAGATTTTGTGTGGATAAGAGTGGGCTGAGCTCTCACATGCTCAAGTTCTAACTGATCACCATATCTGGGGTTAGGAAGGAACTTTCCCAAGGTCAGATTGGCAGAAATAGTGTGGTTTGGGTTTTGTTTTTGCATTCTCACTCGCAGGTTTAAACTAGTGCAAATGGTGGATTCTCTAACTTGAAGACTTTAATCCATGATTTGAGGATGTCAGTAACTCAGTCACAGACTAGAGGTTTATTACAGGAATGGTTAGGTGAGGTTCTGTGACCTGCAATGTGCAGGAGGTCACACCAGATGATCACAATTACTTTTAAAAATCTACGAGGATGCCGGTGGCACCTTAGGCTGTGTCTAGACTACATGCCTCTGTCGGCAGAGGCATGTAGATTAGACAGATCAGCAAAGGCAAATGAAGCCGCAATTTAAATGATCACGGCTTCATTTACATTTACATGGCTGCCGCGCTGAGCCGACAAACAGCTGATCAGCTGTTTGTCGGCTCAGCGCGGCAGCCATGTAAATGTAAATGAAGCCGTGATCATTTAAATTGCGGCTTCATTTGCCTTTGCTGATCTGTCTAATCTACATGCCTCTGCCGACAGAGGCATGTAGTCTAGACACAGCCTAAGGTGCCACCGGCATCCTCGTAGATTTTTAAAAGTAATTGTGATCATCTGGTGTGACCTCCTGCACATTGCAGGTCACAGAACCTCACCTAACCATTCCTGTAATAAACCTCTAGTCTGTGACTGAGTTACTGACATCCTCAAATCATGGATTAAAGTCTTCAAGTTAGAGAATCCACCATTTGCACTAGTTTAAACCTGCGAGTGAGAATGCAAAAACAAAACCCAAACCACACTATTTCTGCCAATCTGTAACGGAAGTGTTGGAGCATAAGCTTTCGTGGTCAAAGACCCACTTCGTCAGATACATGCATCTGACGAAGTGGGTCTTTGCCCATGAAAGGTTATGCTCCAACACTTCCGTTAGTCAATAAGGTGCCACAGGACTCCTCACCGCTTTTGCAGATTCAGACGAACACGGCTACCCCTCTGATACTTAAAAGTCTAGGAGTTAAATGCTGTAGACGGACAAATGCAGAAAATGAAAGGAAAGGTGAAGGAGGGAAGCTAGTTATGGGGCAGGCACAGCTATCAGAGAGTCAGGTTGAAGAGAAAAGGACAGGGGAGGGGGAAGAGTGAACATCCTATTCTCCCTCTTCTCCTCCACTGCTTTAGGGCAGAAGGTACAGCTACATGCCCATCAACATACTTGCATTCAAACGTTCTTGCATTCAAACATTCTTGCAGATTTCCTACACTCCAGTATGAGTGTCCTGGGTTTCTCACTTAAGATGTCTGTTCCCTGTCTCTAGCTCTGTAAAAAGCAGGTTGTTCTCTGCATCCTGACTAGAACAGGTAAATAGGAAGCCTGGCTCAAAGGTGAGCAGAGATTTGATAACCAGGCTGTCAACCTACCAGTTGCATCCTAAGTCTGACATCATACAAAACAATTCTTAGAGTTCCTTCCAGCTGAGATTCTCCTCAGCCTTCACAGTCATTGAATCAACCTCTCTTTGCCTCGGAGTGGGGTCTCTCTGGGGTAAGTCAGGCTTCCGTATGAGCAAGTGCGTAAAAGTCAAAGTGGACTCAGTTTCCCACTAAGGAAGCAGTGTTTGCAGTGAGGCCAGGACACCAGGATATCACTGTGAACTAGAACTGTGGGGTTTTTTTGGGGGGAGCGTATAAAAGCAAGGATTGGGGGTTCAGATGACAGGAGCAGTGAGTGGGAACCAGCCCTTCAGTTAAAAGGTCTCTGCACTATGCAGAGTGGGCCATTTGAGACACTATTCTGGTCCCCAGTTAGTGGAGCCAGTATCCCTTTGTACAAGTTACCCCTTTTAGCACAGTGTGGGGTTCAAGGAGAATGCAGAATGTTCGAACCGGCTGTTTAGTTTGCCATGGCACGTTGCCATGGTTACACCAGGAAGGGGGCAGGGTTTCCTCTGCACATACCACTGACAACATGCACTCCCTTAGCCAGCTGGCACTGGAAAGAAGTTGGACCTGTTGACTCATGAGGGCCTTAGTGGTGGCCGCAGAAAACAAGGCACAATGGGTAGGACTTACCTTCTCCCCCTCAGAGGAAGTGAATCTCACCAAGAACAGTGTTGCTGGTCCCACTGGAGGAGAAAAGCAAGGGGGTAGGGTAGGTAAGATGACATCTCACTTTAGAGATCAGTGCATGTGGGGGGGGGTTACTTGTGTGTGTGTGTGTGTGTGTGTTCAGTGCATGTGTGGGGAAGTGATTACGTGTGTGTGTGTGTGTGTGTGGTGTAAGAGAGAAAGCCCAGGAGAGAGTTGGGGTTCCATTCAGAGAGCCCTGCCTATACTCACCACAAAACCTACTAGCAGGATAATTCCCTTAGCCATGTTGCATTAAGAAGCGAAATCCAAGTTAGCTAGGCCCTACTATAGCGGGGGTTTGGGTAGAGGAGCCTTGGAGCCCAGGGACCAGCACTCAGTGCAATTCTATTCCTCAATACTAAATATCCTCATCTTCACTTCTCTCAGGAGGCACCTCCCTCCAAAAAGCTCCAATTAACTTCCCTTCTGAACAAAGCAGCAAGTGAGAAAAAGAAAGATGCATTAAGACAAAACCAGAAAAAACTCAGAAGAGAAAGCCAAAGAGAAGGAATGGACAATCCGGAGATTGAAGGAGGAGCAGAAAAAAATAAGGCAGGATACATAGAAGAATGGTGGAAGTGTAAATAATGAAAAAGGGAGAAGAGTCTGCTGGGATGAGAACCAGGACAGAGCTAAAAGAAATTTAAGGAATGAAAACTGATTTTTACTCTGTTCCACCCTGTCCTTTAATGTAGTTTAATTTATTGAAGGGGGTGGGGGGATAGAGATGGTTGACCAGCTGAGAATAAAGGAGCAGGAACTTCTCCAAAGGCCATTTCTCACATGCACATATATATATATATTCTATGCTAATGCAGGTAACTCAGCATCTCATTTTCAAACTCTGGTCACATTTTGTCTCCATTTCAACTGGAACAGTGCACATGGGCCTGAGACTGTTACATGCATCTGTAAACTAACTTGAAGGCGAGCAGAACTTTTAGATATAAAAAAGTGTGGAATTTAACACTAAGATTAAGAAATAACTGCACTGGGAGTAGGAGCGTCTTCTACACTAGAGCTTCTGTAGGTGCTGCTACTGGTTCCAGCAGGGATTTTTCTACAAGATTCCTACTGGTGCTGGCACAATTTTTATAGTAGTCAGAAACCATCTATTTGGGTTATTTCTGCTTCAAGTCAGGGACATGGCAGCTTTCATCATTCCAGCACTTATCACCGTGTCTAGCCTAGACATGGACTAAGTACAGTAAACTTCTGATAATCCAGCACCTTTAGGACCCAGGGAGTGCCGGATTATCAAATATGCCAGACTATTGGAAGGGGGGGGGCTATGAGGGGTCTGGGGTGGAGTGGGGGGGATGCACCCCTTGGCGCTGTGGGACCAACCCCAGCTGCTCTGCCCCAGACTTCCCCAAGTCAGCCACTGCTGAAACTGACCAATGGCCGACTCCAGGAAGCCCCTGCCCCCGGCTTCCTGGAATCAGCCGCTGATCAGGTTCAGCAACAGCTGACTTGGGGACGCCTGGGCTATGTCTAGACTGCAAGCCTCTTTCGAAAGAGGCTCTTTTGAAAGATACTTTCGAAAGAGCGAGGGGCGGCACTAGGGGACCAACCCGGCAGCACCCCAGCTGCTCTGCCCCAGGCATCCCAAAGTCAGCTGCTGGTCAGTTTCAGCAGCAGCTGAATTGGGGAAGCCGGGGGCAGAGCAGCTCCAGTTGTCTGGCTTCCCGGAGCACTTCCGGGTTCCAGATGATGCCTGACCATCAGGAGTGCCAGACCATTGGATGTCGGACCACTGGAGTTTTACTGTAGGTATTGGTGTTTCTTGAAAGAGTGAAGCCTAAGAAAAGAGGCTCCATCGAAGGAATATTGTGCAAAAGGTAGTAGTGTGTAGTACTCTAGAGTGGGAATCTCATTGGCTAACTACTCTTGGCTTGTTTACGATTAATAGTTACTTATATAATTATTAGACAGAGGGGATTTCATTAAAGGAGAAGTATGGTATTGGGGCATGAAGTCCAGGTGAATAGTGTGTATTTGTGTAGCTAGAAGCTAGTTTTTCCTGTAGGATCAGAATAGGCAGGTATGATGGCAGCTGCTTTCAGGGCAGGCCCAGCATTGAGAATAACTCCATCATGAAGTATCATCTGCACTTGACACAGGAGACTGAAAAGTTGAAACCCACCTCCACTGTGAGAGAAGGACACAGAGATAAAAAGAAACGGAAGCAAGGAAAAAAGCATGAAAGCAGGGAAACAGAAGATAAAGAAGGAGGAGAAGATACAGATATAGAAGAGCCAGGGAACAAGGTAAGATTTAATTTTGCTGTCCTGCTCTGAACGGAGAGAGAGAGGCTGGTAGAAAGCAAATCGAGGAAGATGAAGGATAAATAAAATTTCGCACACTCAGATCCTTCACTCTAATGCAGTTATTCTGACAAGGGAGACAGGCTGGCTAGGATCTGGACAGAGTAGCAGGAAATCATTGCCAGTAGAATACCACCTTTCCTTTGCACCCCCGTAGACCTTCACTTTTGCACTGTGGTGACCCTCGCTGCAGGTCCCCAGGAAAACAAAAATGTAGGCTTGATATATAGGACAAAGGAGGCCTGTGATTTGCTGCTGTGCAACACTGAATGAGGAAAAGATTTAGTTATTCAATCTGCTGCCTGCAGCATGCATACAAACAGTCTTGGCAAACTTAAAAGATGCCCCCCTCCCCCACAAAGCTTCTCTAACATAGTACAATAAAAATAGTCGACACTTTGCACAGGTCCTTCCATTGTCTCACCTGTGACAAAATGAGATAACTACAACCCAGGCATTCCTAGTTCAGTGTTTTAATCAGGTCACCATCCTATTTCCCCACATATCTTCCTTCTTGGATTCCTATTGTGCCCTATAATTCCTGGGAATGCATATACAGCAGGATGCCCAAGCTCTACTTCAATGCTTCCTTTCATTAAAATTGGGCCCATGTTACAGAAGTCATACCCACAACCTGGAAAAGAGATGATGTATTTTCTATTCACATTTCTCCTCTCTCCCTGATGAAAGGGAACTGCCAGGAACACTCCCACACAAATTGGGGGGAAAAGGGGAGCTTCAGCTAAAGGGCATCCGGGGAATGGGGGGCTCAGAGCTGGGACAGGCCCGTATGAGGGGGAAGGAGGGTGCACATCCACAGCCAGCCCCTTTCACCTGCCTGGCAACTCTGTCTCTTTTCTGTATGGTTTTATGAGAAGCAATCCCATTCCAGGCACATTCCATTTTCCTGGCACAACCAAACCCTGACCTTGCTTTAAGTTACCATAAAAGGGACCTGTATTCTGAATTTAGTGGTCCTAGCTATTACCCTTGTGAGGAGTTCTCGAATTAGACAGACAGATAACGCTGTCTAATATACAACAGATTTACTTAAAAGTTATCACAACCTAAGGATCTTGGGTCTTGCATTGCTAGTGAGGAAAAGAAAAATTTGGTGCTATGAGTTCCTAGAAATTGTGCGCCAACTCACATGTTTTCCAGCTGCCATTAACTCACCCCCTCCCAAAATCTGTCAGTTCCTTTCTTTCATCACTCAGCAATATTTTTCTGAAATCATGTGCTTGGTTCTCTGGTCACAGGCAAAATTCACCTTACTGCACTTACTTTGAAATATCTTTTTTGATTTTGCTTTTACTCACAGCAATTCCCTCTTTGATTGTGCATTTTCCAGTTGAGCATTGGGCCAGATGGTTGTGGGTTTCTGCTAGTGCTTCCTGTCTTCCCTATGGACTGGCAGCCCTGATGAAACAATCCTATAGAATTTAAGACTGAAACCAAAAGATTGTTAAAATAAGATTGGCCATACTGGGTCAGACCAAGGGTCCATCTAGCAGTATCCTATCTTGTGATAGTGGCCAATGCCAGATGCCCCAGAGAAAGTGAACAGAACAGGGAATCTTCAAGCAATCCCAGTCCTGTCCCCCATTCCCAGCCTCTGACAGAAGGCTAGGGACATCATTCCTACCCATTCTGGCTAATTGCCATTGATGGACCATGAATTTATCTAGTTATTTCTTGAATCCTGTTAAAGTCCTGGTCTTCATTACCCCCTCTGGCAAGGAGTTCCACAGGTTGACCATGTGCTGAGTGAAGAAAAACTTCCTTTTGTTTTAAACCTGCTACCTATTAATTTCATTTGGTGGCCACTAGTTCTTATGTTATGGGAACAAGCAAATAACTTTTCCATATTCACTTTTTCCACCTCAGTCATGATTTTATAGACCTCTATCATATCCTCTCCGTAGTCTCCTCTTTTTCTAAGCTAAAAAGTCCAAGTCTTTTTAATCTCTTTTCATATGGGACCAATTGCAAATCCCTAATCATTTTTGTTGCCCTTTTCTGAACCTTTTCCAATGCCAATATATTGTGAAGTGAGCACATCTGTATGCAGTATTCAAGATGTGGGTGTACCATGGTTTTATATAGAGGCAATACAATGTCCTCGGGCTTATTCTCTATCTCTTTTTAAATTATTCCTAGCATTCGGTTTGCTTTTTTGACTGCCGCTGCACATTGAGTGGATGTTTTCAGAGAACTATCCACAATGACTCTGAGATCTCTCTCAAGTAGTTATAGTTAAATTAGTTCCCATCATATTGTATGTATAGTTTGGAAAAAATAATCCCATGTGCATAACTTTACATGTAGCAACATTAACTTTCATTTTCCATTTTGTTGTCTAATCACTTAGTTTCGTGAGAGCATCTTTTTGAAGCTCTTCACAGTCTGCTATGTTCTTAACTATCTTGAGCAGGTTAGTAACATCTGCCAATTTTGCCACTTCACTGTTTACCCCTTCTCCAGATCATTTATAAATAGGTTGAATAGGATTGGTCCCAGTACAGGCCCTTGCAGGACATGGCTAGTTACCTCTCTCCATTCTGAAAACTGACAATTTATTCCTACCCTTTGTTTCCTGTCTTAACCAGTTATCAGTCCATGAGAGGACCCTCCCTCTTATCCCATGACAACTCTACTTAAGAGTGAGGGACCTTGTCAAAGGCTTTCTGGAAATTTAAGTACACTATATCCACTGGCTCTCCCCTTGTCCACCTGTTTGTTGACCCCCTCAAAGAACTCTACTAGTTTAGTAAGGCATGATATCCCCTTACAAAAACCATGTTGACTTTTCCCCAACACATTATATTCATCCATGTGTCTGACAATTTTATTCTTTACTACATTTTCAACTTATTTGCCCAATATTGACCTTAGACTTACTGGTCTGTAATTGCCAGGATTACTTCTAGAGCCCTTTTTAAAATATTGGCATCCCATTAGCTATCCTCCAGTCATTAGGTACAGAAGCTGATTTAAAGGATCGGTTACAAACCAGTTAAAAGTTTCAAAATTTCACATTTGAGTTCTTTCAGAACTCTTGGATGAATGCCATCTGGTCCCAGTGACTTAACAGTTAAGTTTATCAATTTGTTCCAAAACCTCTTCTAATGACACATCAATCTGGGATGATTCCTCAGATTTGTCATGTAAAAAGAATGGTTCAGGTTTGGGAATCTCTGTAACATCCTTAGCCATAAAGACCAAAGCAAAGAATTCATTTAGTTTCTCTGCAACGACCTTATCGTCTTTGAGTACTCCTTGAGCATTTTGATGGTCAAGTGGCCCCCCGGTTGTTTAGCAGGTTCCTGCTTCTGGTGTACTGAAACATTTTGATATTCCTTTTTGAGTGTTTGGCTAACTGTTCTTCAAATGCCTTTTTGGCTTTTCGTCTTAGAGTTTATGCTTCTTTCTATTATCCTCACTGGGATTTAACTTCCACTTTTAAAATGCTGCCTTTTTCTCTCTCACTGTTTCTTTTACTTGGTGGCTAAACCACAGTGGCACTTCCTTGGTGCCCTTAGTGTGTTTTTTAATGTTGGGTATTGCATTTATGTTGGGCCTCTATTACGGTGTCTGAAGTTTCCATGCAGCTTGCAGGGATTTTACTTTTGTCACTGTACCTTTCCTCATTTTTGTGTAGTTCTCCTTTTTGAAATTGAATGCCACAGTGCTGAGCTGCTGAGGTGTTTTTCCCCACCACAGGGATGCTAAATTTTATTACATTTCCAAGCGATCCACTTGGCCCTTGAACTTTACAAGGGCATGTAAGTAGGAAGGAGGCCTGGGAAGTAACAAGCAAGTTAGATTCAGTCCAGTGACCAAGAGGGAACCATTTGTGGTATTCAAAGAACAAGGGTGAGTCTTGCTCCATGCAGTAATCCAGGAAGATTATTTTAGCAGCAGCATTTCCCATGGACTGAATAGGGACAATGTGGATGTTAGGGAAGCCACCAAGAAGGATATTGCTATAGTCAAGACAGATGGAGATGATGTCATGACAACAGATGAGAAAGGCTCAGCTGAGACCTTTTGCTCTGGAGATAGAGATAGGAGGACAGATTTCTGAGTCATCAAGGCAGAAGGAGAGGAAAAATCTGGGTCGGGTGTATGAGGAGAAAAAGATATCTAAAGGAAATGCTAGATTGAACCACAAGGAAGCTGTGGTATTGTCAGTCATGCTAGGAACTAGTGGGGAGTGTTTAGGAAGGAAGACGAAGAGTTCATTTATGGTCATATTAATCTTAAGATAAAACAGGAGAAGCTAGGTCAAATTGCAGGACTGGAGAGACAGAGAAAGGTCAGAAATTAGGAGGTGAAATTGTAAGTCATCAACATAGAGTATAGTTGGAGCAATAAGAGCCCAGTTTTGCAGGTGCCACTTACTAGAGAGGATAGAAAAAAACTGAGGGCAGAAACCTCAGTAGTGAATGGAGGAGCAGGTGCCATTCCAAAAGTCTTAAGCTCCTCTGGCTTATGTCTTGGAATCATCATGATCAAAGACAAAGTGTTTGGAAGGCTCCTTCCAGCACTAACTGCTAGGGAATGCAGCCAATGGTCAGACTGTCTCAAATGAGCTTCTTGGGTGAAACAGAAACTAAGTCTGAAATTAGAAAACTTAGAATCCTTTGAGAATGCTGTTGGCATGACTCCCGTACAAAGTCAGTTAATGTTTCCTCTGCTCCAGCCAGGCCCAATGGATGGAGGATGTTATCGTGAGTCTTTGAAGGGAGTGTTGACTGGCAAACCCATTCTTTCTAGGCATGGAATAATAACTCCACTCCCCTCTCACCCTGAGAAGAGCAGAGAGCTCTGTAGGGGAAAGCATTCAGGGACACACTCCAGAGATTTACTGTAAGCAAGGGGAGCAGAAAGGCTTCTAACGGGGTGGGGAGCACTGCATTCACTTTGAGAGGTGAAGCTGAAGGGAATTATATCCTAATGGTGGGCCGGGGTGTATGTGAAGCCCAGGATAAGAGGCATTGGGAGATAAAATGTGTAGGGCAGAAGCGAGGGCACAAGGCCCTCTATCCAAAGTCGATCTGTGTCTCATTCCTATGTTGCAGCCTTTCCTTTTCTTCCAGGAATCATGTTCCTTCAAAAGACCAAGGACTGCTTCCTCACCGGCCTCAGTATCGGCTTTTGGAAATATACGTCCTCACAGCCCACCCCCTGTGCCCATAAAGCGCAGTTGCCGCTCAAAGGAAGCTGGTTCATGTAACAAAGGAGAGTTTCCAAAGGGGCCTGTGCGCAAGATGGAAATCCAATTCCACACACGTCAGAGAGAAGGAATCCAGATCTGTGACCACTTTCTTTTGGGGAATTGTCCTCAGGGGTCTATCTGTGAGCTCCACCACACTCGCTATCCCTACCACTGGCAGGTAAAGAGGAAGGATAGTCAGGTCTGGCAGAGTGTGAATGACTCGGCTCAGCGGCATCTGGAGAAGCTATACAGTGACATAGAAAGAGCGCATGTTAAATTGATTGACAAGTAAGTGATGAAAAAGCCAAGCTATCAAATGATCTATGTGAGGTTATACAAGGAGATGTACCACTTCTCCTCTTTCTATACTCCCCCACTGAATGACTTCCAGTTGCCAAAAGCAGCAGAGCTGAACTCTTCTGGTTCTTTACCTTGTGAGTCCACTCACCATTTTTTCTTTCCACCAGTTAGAAATAGTTGTACAGACATTTTAGAATTAGTTAGATCATTTTAGAGCAACCATGGCAATTTTATATCTTTGAGGAGCTAGATTCATTTAGCCCATATAGACAGCAGCAGTCCACAAAAATAAAAAAAAAAAAAAAAAAAACTCACATTAAAGGAGGACAGTTTTCTGTTTGGCATTAGGTACGAGGGTCAGAAACTGGGAATTTCCAAGATGAATGTGGGACAAATGTACTGGATTGATGTGCCAGCTACCTGAATTTTAGCAGCTCTTGACCTCTAGACCCAAGGGTAGTGGGGCTGACAGACTCGCTGAGCCCCTGGAAAAAATGGGAGGTGCCAGCTCCACAACCTGGAAAGGATGGGATCCTGGGCAGAAGAGGCAGGGCTGGAGCTAGCTTCCCATGGGAAGCTCTCAGAGCCACCTGGAGTGCACTGCATAGGGCTGCAGTGGTGATTTAAAGGGCCTGGGGCTCCAGCCACTGCTGTGGTAGCAGCATCCAGGAGCCCTGGGCTTTTCTGAATTGCCAGGCCCCTGGAGAGTTGCTCCCATTGCCTCCCTTATTGGTGGGCCTGCCCTTGGGTGCTCATCATTAACACAGCCACAAAGGATTTGGAAACATCCCCAGACACTGTGACATCACAATACCAATAGGCTCCCACAGGAGGAGAATATCAGTTTGCTAGAATTTTGAGCAGGCATGTTGACTCATCAGGTGGCCTAGCTGTAGATCAATGGAGAGCATGTTCTAGTGCAATTCAACATTACAACTATAGCAATCTGACCACTCTGGGAGGAGCCAGGTGCTAGAAGTTGCACTCAAAGGCAATGGAGCTTTTATCCTATATGAGCAACCCACATAATAAGCACTCTTTCGAAAAGCAGATCGTCCATATTGGTCGAGCACAGGCTCAATAGAATAGTTGCTGAGCTAGGATTCAGCATCTCAGACCTGGAATGGGTCAGTGTGCCTGCCAGAGGCATTCAAAGGCTCTCCTACTTCACAAGGGATACCCAGTTTCTGGGGAAAGACATCCTTGTCCAGAAACATCTAAACCATACATTATATGCTTTCCCTCCACTATCACTCCAAAGGAAAGTGGTGCAGAAGAGAATGCAGCTATTGCTACATTACTGGCCAAGGAGGTCTCCACGCTGAGACCTGATCCACCTGTTGGTATGACTACACCTGCCCAGAAGGCCAAATCCCCTACCATCAGAGACCCCTTCTGCATCACAGCCTAAACTGCCTCCATATGGCAGCCTGGGCACTGAAAGGGAAAGCCTAGGCTGTATCAAGCTTCTTGGAGAAGAAGAGAAGTCTCACGTCCAGGCACGAATCTACTATCAAGCCTTTACTCTGACATTTGGTCTACATTCTATTTCTGGTGTGAAGAAAAAAGTGAACAAGAGAAATCTGGGTTTAACAAAGCTAAGCTCTGGATTTGTCTTCCCTCTCTCTAGAAAGGTTTGGTTCTGAGCACCAGATCCTCTCAGTATTGCACGATAGATGATGGTCATTAGTAATAAGCTGTCATAAAATCACTCCCAGACACTCTGGCTGTGTCTAGACTGGCACGATCTTGCACATATGCTTTTAATGGAAAAGTTTTTCCATTAAAAGCATTTGCTCAAGAGAGCATCTATACAGGCAGGGGCCTTTGCACAAGAAATGTGCTTTTGCACAAGAGCATCCCATGCCAGTATGGGGCTTTCTTGTGCAAGAAAGCCCCGATCGCCATTTTGCACATCTGGGCTTTCTTGCGAAAGAGCCGTCTACACTGGCCTCTTGCGCAAGAACCCTTGCGCAAGAAGCATTTATCCCTGAGCGGGAGCATCACAATTCTTGCACAAGGACACTGATGATCTTACATGAGATCGTCATTGTTCTAGTGCAAGAACTTAGGCCCAGTTTAGACAGCTGGCAAGATTTTAAAAATCTGGCCAGTCTAGACGTAGCCTCTGAATTCTCAGAGCAGGAAGCCTGAGCATAAGGCCCACTTCCCTAAATGTGCCCTTTTTAACTTCACTACTCAAAGCCTGGCCTGCACAATCCTTTGAGCCCTGGTGCTCAGATCTTATTTCTTTCATAAAAGCTTGGTTTCCTATTAGCCATAGAGTCAGCAAGACTAAGCTTAGCATTCACACCACTTTGTGTGCAAGATCCCCGCTGTGGCTTCTGCAAGGATAAAAGTGCTCCTCTGTCTACCAAACTCATTCACTCTGGTTTCCACAGCTCTTAGGACACTGTGAGGTCATCTGCCTGCCCAAACCTCAAGTATCGAATGGTAAAATTGTGGCATGATCTGTATAGGCACAGAGCACTTAGTGTCTAAATTAAAAGGTCAGACTAGTAATGAGATCATGAACCCTATTTGTCTCCTGCCTTCAAGTGCCTGAGAGCATCCAAACCTTTTTCTAGCCAGATGGATCACAAGCTGCAGCATGGAAGCCAGAGGATGTTAAAGCACATTTGAAAAGGAGATTACTCAGTTTTATAAGCAGAAGAAATATGTAGAGCAGCCAGGCAGCTTCCTGAGTACTTTCATCGGGTCCTATAAAAAGTGGATTTATTCTCCAAGGAGGCAATCTTTGAGAGGAAGGTGACACATGGGGTCATTTCCAAATACATTATTTCACAATTTGAAAGTTCTTTTCCACAGAAAATAAGTCTCAAGTCATATTTTGCATTTCTGTTATTCCGCCCTCCTACTTGTGCTTTACTGTTGGCCACTCAGCTTTCATCATAGAGCACAGCAATGTTATGAATCAGAAGAGAGCACTGATTACCTGATCCTCCCCCACCCCGGGAAGTAACATCTCTCTAAAGGGACGCATCCTGATCACTACTAGATCGCAGTGGGCAAATACTAGCCTGCAGGCTGGATTCAGTGAGCTGCTGCTACTACATTTACCTGCATCTCCGCATGTACGGGCACTTGCAGTTCCCATTGGCCATGGATCGCCACTCTTGGCCAAGGAGAGTGGTAGGTAGAGGTGTCTCAGTCAGTGCCCCTTCCTGCAGCTCCCATTGGCCAGAGAAGCAGGTAAATATAGTGGTGGCAGCCTGCCAGGAGCTAACCACCACCATTTTATTGCCCACCTCTGTACTAGAGTAACAGAAGGTAGTTTTTGGCCTCCTGATGTAAACATGTGTGAGTGTAACCTATACAGAGTTACAATTTAGTTATTAAAGTTAATGATCCCATTATTCTAAAGGTTGGATTGTTTACAAATTGAGTGTTTCCTGCACCGTAGGTAGTACTCTTTCAGTAAGCAGAAATAAAGGACAGCTGTGACCAGGAATAGAATCCTCCCTGCAACAGACCTGTGTTCTTAGACTCTGAAGCTTCCATGCATGATGAATAGGGAATAAGTTCTTCCCAGAAAACAGAAGATCAAGTTAGAAAGTTTCCTTCCCATAGGTCCCTGGATTATTTGTGGTATATGACAACAAAGATAGAGAACAAGAAATCTCCTCCAAATGCCTGAAATAGATTAAAGCCTGTATTGAAATATGCCATTGACTTGCAGCTGTCCCAAAGCTTGAAGGTGTCAGGGTGCATTCTATTAGGCTTAGTAACGGAAATCTGTAGACCTGCAACCAGGAGCTCATCTTGTCCCTGGGCTTCCAGTAAAAAAAGCAGTTTTGCAGTTAATAGCCTCATCCCTACCTCCCTAGTCTTTCTGTCTGTGAATCCCCCAACACCTGGCACCTGGAGAAAGAACAGCTACTCACTTATAACTGGAGTACAAATTCACACACACCCAACCGTCATCTTCATTTGAGAGCTGAGAGGGCAGAAGGAACTGAACATAGGGGAAAAGTGGGAAGGGAGATATAATTTTGCTCATGGTAGAATCCAAATAATCAGAACATTTTAGAGACTTCCTGGGTTAACGTAGGCAGCACAAGAGCAATCTGTTCTGAATCTGCTCCCAAAACTCCAGTTACAGATTAGCAATTTTTCTTCTTTCCTAGGAAGGCCTTGTGTGGGAAACTCAACTTGCACACATTGAAAATAGGTCACCATGGGCCATTCAGTAATATACGGCGGCTGTCCAATACCAGTGATCCAGAGCAGAACTCCCACTTTCCTACAGAGTGGGCAGTATACTGGCAGGATGGCAGCATGTGGAAGAAATATGAGGAGGTATAAAAAGTAGAACTCAGATCAACTTTTGAGGGAGGGATGTCTCTTTAGATTATCAATCCATTCTGGGCTCTGTCTGTATATGATGATAAAGGCAAGGACTGAAAGACTATGTATTTGGAATTTCTGTTAGTACCAAGAGACTGGTTGCTCCAGGGCAGGGCTGAGCTCTAGTAGTGAGGAGCAACATGCATAGTGGAAGTGGTTAGCTTTCTTCAAGCTCCTGAAACTGCAGCTTACCCTCTCTCACCCCTCTCAGCCCCTCTCGTGTGATTTCCTGGCTGCCTTTGAAAATGGCGCACAAGAGCATGTCTTTCAGCTGCGAGGCCACGTCTACACCGTGAACTTCAAGAACCATCTAATATACAATCATAACACAGGAAACACCCACATTATCCAGCTCCGGCCCACGTATCGCTCACCTCTCCAGATGTTGCCATGGCTGTGGTAAGGAATGCTACAGGTGATACTATCTCTAATGGCATCTACATAGCACTAGGATGAAGTAAATTCTATCTTATTCTTACCTTAGTACAATTCCAAGCAGCCCCTCAGGACTGCATCATCCCACATCTAACATCCCTGGAGAAGATCCTACAGATGGTTACAGTGGCCCATATCCTGCTGACTGGATTAAGCCTCCAAAAGGCAGTGTCCCATTTACAAAGGAGGAGGTGTTGCCATCAGAAACAGCATACCACGCCATTTACACGGTCTTTCACAAGACACTCTCGGAGGACAACGTTCTTCTGCTCTCAGTTCACAGGATCCGGAATGACTTTCTCTGGCAAAAATACTGCAGGTAAAATTGGGGCTCAGAGAGGGTTAGGTCAGAGTGGAAGTACAGGTTGCATTGTTCTTGGAAGCAAACACAAATTCTTTGGAGACTGGAAATCTGCATCTCATTGCTTATACACCAGTGTGTGGGTCCTGTAGTAGAGTTGGCAAGTGGATGAATGAATCCTGGTGCTAAAAGCCTCAAAATGCAGATCCTGCAGTATTCAGAGACTGGAAGAAAGGCCCATTTGTGCACTCGGGTTTGGATATTGCTGCACACAAACAAGGATTGTGAATCTCAGGGCTTAAGTCTTAGGGTGTGCAGTTGCAGCACATTTAGGGCCATGACTTATCTTTCCAACATCTGAACCAGGCAGCAGCACAATGTCAGTATCTACATTCAAGTGCAGGATTTAAACTACCAGCCTCCACATGTGGTGCACTTATTCTTTGAAAAGAGGACCAGTGTAGAAATGCACAGTTGAGGTTACAAACACAACCTTAACTCTGCCCCTCTTTCACCATCTCCATGGTAGCCAGAAACACACACAGTGAGTCACGAATGATATTCAGATTCAGGTGAAGCTGAAACCTCACTGTATGAAGGCAGGATAAGTGAGATGGCCACATTTAATTTCTTGCATGAAGGGTGATTTATTGGTGCAGATGGAAATATGGGAATGACAACTGCAAATGCATGAGCAAACCTCCTATTCTTACACATGCTGTATACAACTGTGAAAGATTATACAGTTTAGAGGGCTAGAGCATTTAAGTGTTTGGTGAGCCTCTGTAGCCCTACTTCCATTGTCCAGAGTGAGTGATTAGATTTGAACTTCAACTCCAGGTTGATCAAGAGAGACATTAAACCTATCACTTGTTTTCTACATGTTAAGGAAGCAAGATGATAGACCCACAGGGTAGAGATGGGATTAGGTTCCTGGTTACTTTTCTGGCTTCTCCACAAGTTTCCCCATTGGCCAGTAACTAACTGCATTTGTTTCTCCTTTGTTCCCTCCTCAGCCAAAAAGATTTAATGTCACAGGGACTCTCAGCAGATGAGAAACTGAGGCTAGAGAAGCACCTCTTCCACAGCACCTCAGCCAGACAGCTGGGGTTCACCTGCCAGATAAAGTTTGACACTCACCTCTCAGGATCACATACATATAGCAGAGGTTGCTATTTCACCGTGGGTGCAGACCAGGCTGATCGCTATGCCCAGGCAGGAAGAGGTGGACTGCGCCACATGTTCTTGGCCAAGGTATTGGTTGGTAAACCTACATGTGGGAAAAAGCATTACTGCCAGCTACCACAAAGAGTGTCTGGTAGGGAATGCTATGACTCCTATGTTGATAATGTAGCCAGTCCAAATATTTATGTGATCTTCAACAGCTACCAATGCTATCCCTACTTCTTGATCAGCTACAAACTGTTGTCTGACCCTGTGGTGCTAGATGACTAATGGACCACTCAAGGAAGAGGGGCAGTTATTGCTCACTATGAATATGCAGCTTCACTGATGAGGACACGCAACTCTTCCAAGGACTAGCACACCATGCTTTTGCCTGCCACCACCCCGTCTGCCATGATCCTTATAAAACATTTACACCTTATCCTATGGGGATGTCCCATGAGTGCTAATGAAGAATGTGTGTAAACGTTTTCCAGCATACATGAAAAAGGAATCAATTTGGTAATGTTTTCGCTAATGTTTAAAAAAAAACAGGACAAGATTTTGAAAGGTAAATACCTAAATATGGATTTAGGGGCTTAACTCTGATTTACAATTTTAGACCATACTGGCCTTTTCCTCCCCAAAACTTTAAAATTTTAAGGTTTGAAGCACTGAAAAAAATTACTAATTTTGAACACCCATGGAGTGTAGGGCACAAAAATCAGTGAGATGTTGTAGCAGCAATGGAAATGCAGGGCAGAACTTCAGATAAACCTCTTATGTCTGCCCTCCCTACTTGGAAGCCTCATATCTTTTTGCATTAAGAGCAAAAAATTGAGCCAAAAAACCTATTACAAAAAACAGTGACTTCCCGGGTGTTAGACACATCAGTTTCCTCTGAACTAGTTTACCTAACTCAATTTGTTATAGTGTATTGACATTTGGGGCATGAGGGTTGCTTTATCCCCTTTTTTGTAAATAAAAGTTGTGTATTTTATGATACATTTTAATAATTGTTATTTTTTTGTTTGAAAATTGATAATTAAACATTTGATGTGTTCTCTGCCATTCTAAAACATTGAATTAAGATCTTGTGCCAGTTGCAAGACTCAGAATACAGTACTACTACTTTCTTTCATTCAAATACTAGATAGTTTATTTCTCCATTAAAATTTGACTCAGACTTCAGGAGCCAAATTCAATTCCCTGTTTCATGGACAATAAAGTATAATTTGCTCTGCCTATAAAATGCAGACACTTGCAGCATAGTGGTAGGGCGTGATGCAGTGAATTCCCCTAGAACTTAACATTAAAAATATTAAGATTAAAACAACAAAATACAAACATTAAAATAAAATTACAGTCTAAACATTGATCTGATCAGTACAATTCACAATTAATACGTTTATATATATTTATTTAATATTTTAGGACCTTGTTAGGTATATAAAAAAGTAATATTATATTTGGTTCAAAAATTGCTTTTTTATGAACAAATATGCTGAGTAATTTTTCTACTAATTACTCAACTCTACTGAAGAGTATCAATTTCTAGCAATTGTGCACACAATGAAATGAACATTATCAAGACAGTTTCCCCAATTATCACCTGTAATACCATTAACTCACAAACATCCCACTCTCCCTACCTTTAATATCAGCAATTCACAGACACTTACCTTCCTTCCTCCCCCTTCCCACCCCCCCGCATCCTCCTCCTGTTCTGAAATTTGATTTGTCCTTTTCATATGTATTTTTTTTTGTTTTAATTGTATCCTTTGGTATATATGGTTGACACTATTTTCTTCCACTATTTGATCTGGCCCACAAAAGCTCATCATCTAATAAACCATCTTGTTAGTCTTTAAAGTGCTACATAGTCCTGTATTTTGCTCCATAATTTCAGTTATTCTTCCTAAAATCTCGAACAACAACAGTTTACAAAGCTGAACATCTGCCCCAGAATATTGGCAGAGGTGGAAACCCCATAGCTTTCTACCATTCCTTCTCTTACCCAAATGCAACCAGTCACAGAACCTACACCACAGCTTCCTTTATCAAGCTGCCATGGTCTTGGCCACAAACCTTCCCCTCTTCTGAACCAGAGATAAGTGACTGGAAAGTAGTAGTGAGGAGTCATGTACATTCAATGGGTTTTGAATCCTTCCACAAAAATGTTAAGGTGTTACCATGGTTGCACACGTCCCATTTCTAGGACAAACGTGTAATCACACATTAGAGCCCTGATGGATGCATCCCCTCAGTTTCCCCATGTAAAATTCCACTAGTCTTACTGGTTTCAGTTTCTCCCTAAGCAATTCAAGTACTGTTAGATCACATCTAGTCCATCACTACATTACAGACACATGCTTAAAAACCTTGACCTGGAATAGGTCTACACTAAAAGATTGTCATTACAGATCTTAGTCTGAAAAAAAAAAATCCATAGCTATCAGAGTGAATGCAAAAAGAAATAAAGCAGCATTGTAGTTAACAAATGATATTAAAGAAAGAAATTCTGGAGATCTGGCAAATTATATAAATTTAGGCTATTTTCCATGTGTTTAATAATGGGGTTTCTAATCAAGGAGAGTTAGGAAGGGGTAACCTCAAAAACTGTTATTCCTTGTGTGTTTGCTGAATTACCAAAGATTAATTCCTGCTCATTTTGGCGGTCTTATGTTTCTATTAAAGTCAATGCCCATGGGGTTCATGCCTCCTTGATGCCAGAAAGCTGAACCAGTCAGGCTCACCAAAAGGAATACCCTAGTCCATCTCCTGAGAAGAGATAGTTTGTGCATGCTAACCATACATCAGGGAGTGGCGTTCAGGCATGCAGCTCTGTGCAACCCCCAGTGCAGGCCAGCCACTAAATGCCAGTGTCAGGACCTAGGTTTGCTTCCTTAAAGAGAAATAAATCAGCATATTCTGAAGGAAAGTCAGGTGCATGGCAGATATTTGTCTCACATGACCATGAAAGCAGAGAGAAAAGTGTTTCTTGGATCTATCCACATTCTTGCTCTACCAAATTCAGAACTGTGAAAAATAGGTCATGTGCTATCTGATTTAGGAGGCTAATAATATAAATTTAGACAGTATGGGTTATAGGCTTGCCAGTTAGTCTGATGAGAAGATAAGGTTCTTGTCCTCAATTCGGGCTACACAGAATATGCAAAGAACCCTCGGTGGTATGACAGGATGCTCACACAGACAATAATAGTTTTACAAAACTTTTATTGAGATATAGGGAATTGTAAACAAATGGTAAAGTAAATAAGGGATACCAATGCAGTACTATTATTCTAAAGATACAGATTGTAATCTATAAAGCTTTGATTAATATATTCAACACCCTTCCTTGATAACCTGGAGATGGAGACAAAAGACCAACTTTGCATTTAGCATACCAAGAAAGTTCAGGTCCAGGTTCCTCAATTCTGGAGTGGGAGGTGCCAAATTTAGAAGAAGCTAAAGCTAAGAGCTATTAAAGTTGACTAATTAGTTTACTTAACTGACAAATTAAAACTAAATAGACTACTAGAAAAAAAAAGAGTTTAGAGACTTAGGACAGTGACCTTGTTTTCTAAGCTAATTTCTAACTAAAACAAGCCCCTGGCATCTCATATATGGCTTAGGTGCTTGGGCCTTATGTCCAAAATAAGAAGGTACACTTATTTCATAGGCTGGTATGTTCGTACATATTGATGACATGTACATGCATATTAATGATGTTGGATTATTCTCATGTTATTTTTGTTCTCCTGGTTATTTCAGTTCTTTTTTTTGCAGTGTACCTGTTAAGTTTGAGGGTACAGACTCAGAACCCCCCTATGCTATCCTGCTCATTATCTATGTTAAAGGTCACAGCTATATCTGGACCTTATGCTTTATCTTATTTACTTAGGATCCCATACATATGTAAGCCAACTTTGCCTTAACTCAAACTACTTTAATATAAACCTACCATAATAAAAGTAATAAAAACCGTAAGGACATTAGAAATAAGAAAAACATCTCTATAGGCAAGCAAGCACATTAGCCCTATAAGCTACACACAAGCTGAGATCTGGTCTTGTGTTTTTTACCCTATACTATACTGATTTTGTTTGGTAGATCAGTGTTATTGATCACAAGGTTATTGTAGGGGGCTGTCACTGAAGGCTTGCCACCCTTATTTCTGTGCTACTTTCAGAGATGGGTGGCCAAAGAAGGACAGCTGCTAACCGAGGGCCCAGCTCTGCAAGGCATCAGCACAGAAGTAAAGGTGGCAATACCACACCATTCCATCTTTACAGCAGTGCTGCTGCTAGCAATGCTACTGCGGGCTTCAGAACTGGGCTCCCGGCCATCAGTCACAGCTCTCCAGCTGCCCAGTTCTGAAGACAGTACCCTCCGCCAGCAGCAGCACATAAGTAATGGTGGCAAATACTGAGACTTCCCAACAATAACTTTGCAACTCCCCACCCTGACAATGTCATTTGGGTTCAGGACCTGACAGTTCTAACCCCATGAATTTCAGGTTTAAAGACTCTGAAATCATGAAATTTACAGTTTCTAAAATCCCATGACTGAAGTTAACTAAATTGAATCATGAATTTGGTATGGTTCTATTTAGACACCATGGTGATGGGTATGGTTTATAAGTCAGAAACAGATAGAACATTTGCACCCTGGTGATTCTGGCAGTTTTATACTCTAGGAAACATAAAATTCCCAGATAGCTTTAAAACATTTCTCACAATTTCTCATTAATGAGGTATCACCGCCAATTCTTTATTGCTTTATTGAAAGCTGGTAGCAAAGGGTCAGTCCACATAGGCAGAGACTCCAGGTTCTTGGAGACGTCATCCTTAATAGGCCAACCCCACATTTTAAAGAAAGGGACCAAATTCTTCTTTACTTGCTGAGAGAACTTCTCAGCCCACAGGTTCATCTTGGAAGAGTTGTCTGTTGGGATGTTAGACATTTTCTGGTAGTCTGAGAACAGCTGAATGAAGGGTTCCCAGCCAAAGGCTTCCTGCAGCTAGGGAGCAACATGGAGCAACATTAAAACTGTAGCCTATGCCCCTAAATTAAGGTTAACTATAGACATTGCACCTCATCCCACCTCCTGAACATTCATGATCAAGCCTACAATTATTACTAAGTACACTTCATGAATATTAACGGTTACCACATCTCTGAGCAGCTAGTTCTTTAATTGCTGTCATCTTGGGAGTCAAATTATAGAAAACCTGCTTCAGTGTTTAGACTTAAACGATTAGGAGGGGCCTTGAAAACCTGATCTACTCTGAAAAAGGACTCAAAATAGCATCTTGGGTATTTAATGTGATTCCCACATTTCCAAATAAGATGTTTATTTGAAAAGCCAGCCCTAGAAAGTCAGCCTGAGAGCTGGACAGCCCCAGGTTCCTAACTGTTTATATACCAGTACTAATAAAGGCTCTGCAGACTGGATCGGGCCTTCACTAGCATCTGTACAACACCATTATTTTCAGTGGATTTCCATGCGTGTAATCAAGTGAGAAGATTATATTTATGATGCACAA